AAATCCATTAAACGCTTACAATCTGCTTTGGTTGCGGTTACTGTATTTTCAAAGCTCACACGAGACCACTTTAAACCGAATCTTTTCTCGCTACTCTATCACACACTAATTTTTATATTGAAACAAGTAAGAACATTATAATCGGGCAACACCGACTACGAGGTAGCCTACACCACTACGCTTATCGAAAGCGATAATTGTCAAGAAAGTCCACATATTGGAACGTTCGAATTTCTGGACCCATGTGATTCAAATTCATCATAAAATATGAAAAATTGGCCCTCTTTACGAAGGACTTAGCACTTCTGAGATATTTCATCAGGGGTGCAGCCAAAAAGTAAACCCATGTGGTTTAAATTACGTCCACTTAATTTTTTTTATTTAATTACTGTCAAGAGCAAATTTTTATCACAAAAAAACAAAATTAATACCTAGTCGTTTTTGGCATATAAGGGTTCAGGTTTCATGAGAATCTTCATATGAGGTTGTATCGAAAACAATACACCTAAGTGGTTCAAGTTCGGATAAGGCTAATTTCTTTGTCAATTTACTATTATGAGGCAACTTTCATCATGAAATATCTTTTTATCATATAAAGATTCAGTTTCCATAGGAGTGGTGATTCAAAAAATTGCTGCAGTCGGTCCAAAGTTTTCATGCCAATTTAGAATGCCGAAATACTGTTATTTAGCCACTTTTGTCAAGAAAATTTAAGATTCAATTTTTTCCCATATGACGACTCTTCAGAATAGAACGTTATATGCGGAGTCATCGAAAAAGTGGACCGATCCAAGCCATTATAACTTTCGACTTTGGGCGAAAACGCACCAGTGTACCAAATTTCATCAAAATATCTCGACAAGTGCGACCTGTAGCTTAAACAGAATTTTACATTAGACGGACAGACAGGCAAACAGGCTTAGATCGATTCAGAACCATTTTCTTCCGTCTTAGAATCATAGTATGAATCGAACGCTAGAGTATAAGGTGTGTCTATCTTAAGCCCTTCTGCGTGTCCGCACTAACTTAATATTCTTAATATCCTGCAGCACTTGTGGTAAGAAAACTATATTTCGTCGTGACCGAATCTTTTATACCCATCACGGTTACCGTTAAAAAACACAGGGAAAAAAGTAAAAGAAATAAATTTCCATGCTTTATGATTTGGAGTAGGTGGCGGGGATTTTTTTATTTTTTAAATAAAAGTTTTTGCTGTACAGGCGGGTAGTGGGCTGCAGGCGTGTCCTTTGAAAAGTTTAAGTTATTTCCACACTTCCACACCACCCAGATAAACAGATAAACAGATGGGCATGCTTAAGTCGATTTCGAATTTCATGCTGATCAAGAATATATATACTTTGTAGAATTTCTGATGCGTCCTGCATGTACTTGTCAGATGCTTCCTAATGTCAATTTCAAATTTGATATGATGAACTTCCCGAATAATTAACTAATTAAAGCGAGAGGCATTTTAGAGATCATCAAAATTCCCGGTACAAAATTTCACACAGGAGTATCGGCGGGTACTATATGCATATATCAAACTCCATTGCAATATTATGTGAAGATCGAATAGAAGATGGTATTAAAATATTTTATTAATTTACTTTACTATTATCAGCACAGTAACTAATCTATAAAATACTATGCCAAACTTGAAGGCGCCTCGATAAGGTTTTTGATCGAAAGCATTGCACTTGGCGAACTGCCTTTTAAATAACGCATTTGTTGTTTCATCTCAACTTTGCGAAAAAAGAAGCGTTATCCAATTCTTCCAGCTTAGTCTAGCTTATTATTATTGCAGCATTTCATGGCATAAAATCGTTATTCAAGCTATGACAATCAACATGACAATCGCTCGTCTCCGATAATTAAGCTAAAGTCAGTTTATACGAAGCCATGCCTGCTTATAACGTAATGTAAAAGCTATGTCGAATAAATGCCCCCAACTTGTTTTTATAACAACTCCAATTGTCTGTCAAATAAGATGATTACGACGATTACGAATTGTTGCTGATGCATGTCTTTTGTTACGCATCACAAGGTTGAATAAATTCAAAAACGAATGAGAAGCGAGTTAGCTCGCAAGTTAACCTTAAAATAATCGAATTGAAGTATGAAATGGAAAAAAAGCAAATTCGCAACATAACCTCAAAAGAAGTAAAAGAAATTGAAGCGTACCTACGAGCGGACGTTAAATTTATATAAGATCTGCGTGAAAAAGCTTTAACAACAGGAAAGACAAACGAATTTTAACTAAGCAACAATGGAAAAAAAAAATGAATTAAATTACCATTAAATCGTTTGCTAACTATCGAAAACTTACCCATCTATTGAGCAATTATTTTTTTATTTTCTTACTTTTTATATCCATTATGAAAAGACAAGAGTATATATATTTTATAAAATGTGTGTAATATCCAGAATAAAGCTTTAGAGATCCCTGTCTGCCTGTTAGCACTCTGTGTCGGTCGGTATCCTTCAACAAGGGAGACAAGCTTAACAGAGACTTCATAAATGGGCTTCAACGTCGCTAACACTCAACCCTGACTCTTAACGTATAAGAAAAGTAATGACCAACATATTCTTTTCGATTGTGCCAATGTTGGAGAATCGGCAATTCTCGTTGCTAATATCTTTCGGTACTTCGAGCATACTTAAGTTCTGTCCCAGGAAGATCGCGTTGTATCCTTGTGGTCAAAGCGTATGCTCGAAGTGTTGAAAGCCGCTACAACGGGCCTGAATTTTTTAAAATGGTATAAGAAACACTTCACTGCACCCGATATGCGCACTATTTACTCTACTTATATGCGGCCAATTCGTTTTTGTGGACAGAAACGTCTACATCTTGACTGGAGGTCGTCGGCCGTGAACAGTAAACCTATCCGATGCTATCCAAAAATTCCCGATATTCTTGAGTAGCAGCGTAATGAGGGCTGTGCAACAAAGCCCTCTAGGAAGGGTACTCGGCTGTCTTAGCACTCTTGGCCACTCGTCCTGGACGTTTTCACGTATGTTTTATGGATTATGCTACAGTATCTACACAAAAATGGGAAAAATTATCGATGCCTATCCAATATTATGGAAAATCGAAATTTTTTCATATGTCAATATAAAGACATAAGGATGGTACGAACATAAAACATTGGATTGAATAAAACAAGGCTAATTTTCTTGTTTATCATTTGGCTTTAAAGTGCCGACGTGGTCGCCGAGACTGATCGATCGATGTCTGTCGTTAAGAAAAATAATTTGGAATTTTCCGTTTTTTCGCAAAGTTTCGAGCACTTTTACAAAGTTTCGAGCTCCTATCACATTTAATGGGACACAGTTACAGTTAAATTGATTCCCAAGTTGACGTTGCTTATAGATTTTGTTTGTAAAATGCTTCCATTTTACGATAGTAGATGCAAATGTATGCTGGATATTAAATCAGATTCTCATGAATCTACCATCCGTGGAAAATGCTATGTTTTTTCAATTTCTTCGTTGTGGAGTTCATTTTCAAAGGTACTTTTCGAGCTTCGCTGGTACGATCAAGCCGAACACGTCTAGACACGTTACATAAGTAAAAATAAATTAATTCGTTTATAAATTACCCAAAAAATTAATACAAATGAGAATAAAAAAAAATAATAGAGAAACATAAATTACATACATTATTTATGAACGTATGGGCAACAAAGTTGGTAAATTCTTTGAATGAAATCATTCTGGCATCTATGTATTTATATGTCGACTACACTAATTAATCTATCAAAATGCTGCAATAAACATTTGTCGTCGTTACGTAATACATAATACGTTCGTCTTAAGGGTATTTAGTAGTGAAAGTTTTGTCCATTATTTCATGTTTTCGGATAATAAATAGAAAAAAAAGAAAAATCATTTAAAATTATTGTTTTTAATGGAGTTTACTAATCTTGTTAATCTTCGATAATTTGCTTTTATAAAATGACAGCGGAAATTAATGTGTGTCCGCTTGTGTGCATTGGAAAAAAGAAAATATGCCAAACAAAAGGAAAAAGTAAATGACCAAAGTTGTGGCACCACTTCATTTACACTACGCGCGACACGTACGTCATCATAATATACTTTATATTAAACGACTCTCAACTGCAATTCCCTGCGCCAATCGCCAACTTAACGTACACAAGTACACAAGTAGCAGACAAAACTGTTGTAGCATTAATCATAAACATCATCATCATCATCATCGCCATCATCATAATAATCGTTTTACGGACAAGAAATAAAAATAGAATCTGGAATACTAACGAACGCAAAACGTATGCATTGGTGAACGAGCGAAAGACGCGTTAAACGGAAGCCAGCTAGAGGCAAAAGAGTCATCAAGGTGTAAACATATACGTATAAGTACGAGTGCATCAACGGCGGCGGATATATGCTCATTGCAGCGGAGAAGTAAAAAGAGGAGTGGAAGTTAAAAGTTGCTCTAAGATTATTGTAACGTCAACATCAACATCAACATCAACATCAACATCAGGAACTACAACTACAACTACAACAATAACATTTCGCATCAAAATCAACATCACCAACAATAAGAACAACGCAACAACAACAACAACGTCAACAACAACAAGAACAACATTAAATGTAATTAGTGCCTGTTGTACAAAAGTAAAATTCTTAAAAAAAAAAAAGCCCACAATAACAACAACAACAACAACTATAATAACCGAACGAATACAATCAAAACGGAATTGCTGCCGTTGTTACTAAATTATAAGAGGGTATTATAAGAAAGAATTGCCAACACACACACACACACACATATCTATATATATATATATATATATATATACGCACATACACATCCATACGCACAGACTATTTATCTGCGTGTGTGTTCATATATATTAATAAATATATTTATACAATATATATACATATATATATACATATATATATATATATATATATATATATACAATATATATTATAAATATCTATATATATATATATATATTTATCAGAAAAGTTTGTATTTTGAATGACACGCAAACCGAACAAATGCTGGTATGCTTTGTTAAGAAGAGGCCTTAACTGAGACATACTAAATTCATATACACGGACATACACATCCATATAGACGCTATATATCATCAAAAGAGGTGTAGAAAGGAAGGAAAAGAGAGAAAAAGGAATAAAGAGAAGGAAGTGAAGAACGCTAAGAAAAGAAAATTTATCATTCAGCAAATTAAGCATACACTTGAACTCTGTCACATTTAAAATGGCACCGTCCCAGAGGTACTCGAGCTTATCACTGTCATTATCATCGCTATCATCGTTAATCACACACTTGAAAACTGGCCTTTTTATACGCAAATGTCTAGTATTGTTAGCCTTTGTCGGCTCCAGTAGTGGTGCCCTGTTATCGTACGGTAGCTTAGAGTATGACGCAGCCATGCAATGGGATCACGTTGTTGATTTAAATGAAGATTTTCGCCTCCACTGGACAATCATTAATCAGGATATAACGTTTGAGCTGCAAGTGCGGACATTAGGTTACGTAGGTTTCGGTTTCTCGAAAGATGGGAAAATAGCTGGCGCTGATATGGCGGTCGGTTGGGTAGAAGGCGGCCATACATTCTTTCAGGTATACATCATTCTCCACTGACATGGCAGGCAAAATTTCACTGATATGAAATTTATCTTTTCTCCTTTATATCATAGGATCGTTATGTAGACTTGAAGGGGTCACCGGAACCGCACATTGATCCCTCACAAGATTACATTTTAATTAAGGGCTACGAAAATAGTACTCATACGTTGCTAAGATTTCGACGGAAACTCGATACGTGCGACCACGATCACGATATGATTATTAATGTAAGTTAAACCAGTCGTATATGTACAGTGGGCTTAAATTATTCTTACTTCAATTGTTTTGACATGCTCACAGAATAACACTATGCGAGTTATGTTCATGTATAATGATGAAGATCCACCGCGTGGACTTGTTACACCAGGTCCACTACCTAATCCAGAGGAGGCCTGGCGCACCTACAAGTCGGTTTTGTTGTTACAAAAATCACCGCTATACTTACCCCATTATGAACCCAGTGCCCGAGTTTTGGAACTGCGCAATCAGGAGGTTGAACTTCCTTACGGGGATGACTCCCTTTTATGGTGCAAACTTTTTAAACTTGATAAGTTGGATAAGAAGCATCATATTGTTAAAGTAATTATACCTGTGTTTATAATATTCTTTGCACAATTTCTCTTACATATAAGTATTCTCTTAGTACGAACCCATATTTGATTCATCATGGAGTTACCATTATTTGCAACAAATTACTTTGTATGAATGTCCGACAATTGGCAGTGAAATTGAGAAATTATCTCGCGATGTTGGTCATATGTGTATGGGCGCTAGCAGTTTGCCATTGGGTTGCAATGCTATTGTAGCCTCGTGGACTCGCGGCTCCGAAGTAAGTTAAGCGCGCAACGCAATTGTGTAGGACCAATTTAAATAATTTTATTGCATAATAGATGGATATTGCGTTCATGAAGTCAATTGGTTTATTTTGATTTTTAGGGCTTTGTCTTTCCATCCGAAGTCGGTTATCCAATAGAATCACAGCATGTTAAATATTTTTTAATGGAAACGCATTACAGCAATTTGCAGGCGACATTCGAGCCATATCAAATGCGTCGCATGACCGACAGTTCTGGTTTGAAAATAGTATTCACGCAGGATTTGCGACCACACGATGCGGGCGTATTGTCAATCGGTAGGTAGATATAGTTAACCACACATTGTATTCAAACATGCGTGCCTGTGAGTACAGGACGCCACACTAACATTTGTCGTTTGTGCGGTCGCTCAAATTAGTGCTTTGCTAATTACGATTTGTTTACCTGTAATTAAGGTATGGATCCCAACTGGCGTCATATCATACCACCGGGACAGAAGCGTGTAGTTTCGCTCGGTCAGTGTTTGGAGGATTGCACTGGTGCGGCCTTTCCCTCGCAGGGCATCAATATCTTTGCTGTCATGATGCGCTCTCATCAAATTGGCAAAGAAATTAAATTGCGCCAGGTAAGCTTACAAATCATTCATATAAATCTAACCGCATTCTGACCAAGCTGCACAAAATGTTACACAAAATCCATTTTACATACACATTCTATCTACCATACGTATGGTTAGAAATTACTATACAATGTACTTTAGGTATATGAATGCACAGGCACATTTAACCGAATGCACACACACACACACACACACACACACACACACACACACATACACATGTGTGCACAATGCACACAAACTAACGATCCATCCACAATTACAAGTGTGGTCAAGTACGATGCATACGTGCATTCCGGTATATTTATATTATTAAAGTTTAATTTGCGTTGTTGCGGATTGGGTACGATGTACTTGTGTGGCCCCTTAGAATAGATATATGCAGCAGTCTGACTGCCATTGAATATTCCGTAAAGCTAGGTTACCGTAGGCCAATAAGCCTATCATAATAAGTTGACATTTTTTTCTTCTTTCTTTCTCCTAACGATTCTTTAACGATAAACAACATCAATTACAAACTTTATGGAGACGTTTCAAGCTTAGTTCTAATCACCTAAATTCACTTTGAACTCATCTTAATGTAAAGTTCGCTGCGATTACTTACCTATCCATCAGTCGCAAAGTGGTAAAGAGATTTGTGTGTGTGTGTGTGTGTGTGTGTGTGTGTGTGTGTATGGTGTGTGCTAAGTGCTATATATACGTTTTCTTTGAACAATAAACTGGTTACCAGCCAACTTAGGTCGTTGGTTGGTGGTTTAATGTTTGCTAAATCGATTTGATGTTTAAATTATTAATTGTTTCGCGGTTCATTAAGAACACGAACATTGCGAACGCTAGTCTGCTTCAAGTTATTTGTGTTATGTATACATACAACTTATACACACATAAATGTATAAATTTACAGATACGGCAAGCTGAGGAGCTCTTCCCCATCGCTTACGACAACAACGTTGACGCAAACTATCAAGACTTTCGACGTCTTGCCCATCCTGTACGATCTCTGCCGGGCGATAGATTGGTCGCCGAATGCATTTATGATAGTTCGTCACGAAAGGCAATTACTTTAGGTAAGTGTTTCAATCGAGTTGTATAAAAACTAAACGGTATGCCCGTATATGTGTGTTAGAAAAGCAACTACGTATACTGAAACATTAGCCCGGCATTTAGTCAGCCAGGCAGTAAGGCAATCAGACAGTTAGGCAGGCAGCCAGCCAGGCAGCCAACCAGCCAGTCAGCATAGCAAACTAACCAGGCAGTGAGCTATCGAGCAATGCTCTCATAAATTGTTGACTGGCTGTTGGTCGCTCTGATGGTCTAATACATAATTTGCCGTAAGGTGTTGTTAAACGTGTTTGCTCAATTAAAGTAATTGCGATCATTATCCTATGCGTTGTTCTTTGCATTTTATTCATATTCTTTGCCAACAATTCAGGTGGACTTACTATGAAGGAGGAGACCTGTACGGTGTTAACACTTTACTATCCTCGCCAAAAGCGCCTGACAACGTGTCATTCATTGCCGAGCTTACCGACCGTACTGCACTCGTTGGGCATTGAACAATTGGCCACGTAAGTCTTCTTTCGATTATAAACATTACCCATAAATACCGATTGCAGTATTGATGATAATAAAAAGAAATAAAAAATTGCATGAAAAGATTCAAAAAAAAAAAAGGAAAAAAGAAGAAGAGGATGAAGAAGAAGAAGAAAATTGACTAATAACACTTGTAAATTCTTGCTGTTTTTGATTGCACACTCATTTTAGGAATTCGAATCCGGTGGTTATATCATCACCGCCTCAGTTAGCTGGCATGACTCTGGAGACTCGGCTTCTGTCTTATGATTGGGAGAACCAATTTGGCAAATTTCAAGAGGCGACATTGCATGGCACCTTTAAACCGATTTGTAGCGGAGCTCACAACGAAGTTGTACCGGTAAGTATTAAAAACTCTTACAGTGTAACTAACGCTATCAATGATTCTATGGAGTGTTGTCTCTCGTTTGTCGTTCTTAAAAATTTAAAACTGCCTTTACAAAAACAGGGGCATGAAACTAATTCTTTTTTTGCTGTTGTTATTCTTGTTGTTGTTTTTTTTTTTTTTTTTTTGCTTTTCATTTGTTTTTTTCAATTCTCTTTTTTTCCCAATGTTCCGATCTGCGTTTAGATATCTGAGCATTTTTTAGGCTACAATAAGAACATAACGAAGACATACAAAGAGCCGCGTCGTTGCAAGCCGAAACGTTTATTTGTCACTGAGACGATACCACAACTAGAATTACCTGTTCTGCGCGATACTGAAAGCAATCACATTGGCGAAGGCTCAGTGCGCAGCAGTCGCAGTTCTTTCATTGAAACATTAGCTTTAAGCGGTTCGGAGTCATCATCATCTAGACATCGTTTGGCATTCTTTGGCCTGCACGTAATTAGTATGCTGTCATTAGTGCCGTTGTGGCTGGCCAGTTGAAACAGTTATCGCTTGATAAACTAAAACTGATACGAAACCAACCAACCAACCAACCAACCAACCAAGTAACTAACAAATAACACGATGAGCAATATTTTGACAATGAGACAATGACAATGACGATGATATTAATCAATCTCGGCGCAAGCGCATGCCCATGTAACCATGCACTGCACTGCTTTGCATTGCATTACAACATTTGTAGGATTCTCTCCAACTATAAGCAATAGATAATTGTGCCGTGAACCACTAGAGTTATCATAGTTGTAGTGCTTTAGTATTGTGTACATAGTTAAAATTAACAAATAACTACTAACGTAATGAATGTTGTTGTATTAGATGTTTAACAAATAAACAAATAAATAAAGTAAACACACAAACAAACAAACAAACAAACAAATACACGCACAAACAGACAGACAGACAGACAGACAGATAGATAGACAGACAGACAAACAGACAGAGAGACAGAC